TCAGGTTTTCGCTGTGCCAGCTTGGTGTGATATGGGCATGCAGCTACCTGCCTTGCTTCTGTGTTCATCGTGATCCGATGGCAGGATGATAATCAGGCATCCAGCATGCAACCTAGGCGTGGCTAATCCCTACCCCCTAATAATATGCGCGACCCCCTACCCTGAGGGCATAGTATATAGTAAGTAACATCCGGGAGTGAAGAACTGGGTGCTCGAAATTTAGGGAGGTCAACCACGGAAAAGGTTGCATTTTCAAGCAAAGGGTGTTCAATAATTCAGGTAGGACATGCGTTGCTAGTTTACTAAGTTTGTTTAGATAGTATGAATTCTAATTTAGCATTTAGGGATTTCGGGTTCGGAACAAATATGTTCTTACTATGCGGGGGACCCTTATTATTGGGGGGTAGGGATTCATGCTTGCAACCATCCTTCCCGCTTGCAACCACCGCACTGCCCGTGGAGCGCGCGCATTACTTTCCCAATCTGACATTGATAAATGTTGGAAACATCCTAAAGCCTTGTCGAGCTCCTCCGGCAGCTGCAGCGCAGCAGTGCAGCCACGCCAGTAAGCCTTGGCGTGCTCAAAGTCCACCTGCGGGGACACCCTGAAATTTCCCTGGAACAAACACAAGGAAATTTTGTTTTGTTGGGTTTCCTGATGGGGTTTGCCTGGAACATGATTCAATGAGTTGGCTGTCCCGACACGATGTTCTCCAACTTCGACCTAGTCCCCAGCCCAAGCCTGCAGAGCCTTCTGGCAGTCCTCCAGCGCCATCTCCGGCTGGCCCAACAGCAGCCGCACCTGCCCGCGATTCGCGCAGATCTGGGCCACCAGCGTCTTCAACGGCTCGAAGTCCTTGGTCCGAAGCACATGAGACATCCTGGGGGGGCCAACCCCCCCTAAGTGCTGTACATTATATAGGGGCGGCGGGTCTATGATAGATATTTGCGGGGGTCCAACATAACTTTGTACATTTTCCCGTTGCGGTCATCATGTTGGACAAAGTGGTGCGGGGGGGTGGCAAATCAGACCTTCCGCCCCCCCTCAGGTGTACTTTACTTTACTGTACTTACATCTCCTCGGGTGTACTTCCTCGGACACCGGGAGACGCAGAAATGTACACTGGCGGGGGGTGGTAGGGGGGGGAGGATTGGGTGTACTTTTGACGTTGGGTCAAAACCTGAAATCTGTACATTTCCATCTACCCCCCCCCCCCCCGAAAATTGTACACTCTTTCCTCTGGACCCCCTCGCGCACCTCGCAAGTGTATATACAGCCAAAAGGTGCATAGATTCACGTACACCACCCGGTGCATTAGGGAAGGGGGGAGTGATCTTGAGCCTCAATGGTTTAGGAATGCTTGAGTGAACGCGTTGGCTCCGCGCACATGGTGCATAGGAGGAAAAACGAAGCCTTCTCTTGGGACAATTCGAACGCAAGGGCCGATCAATAACAATGCTTTGGCCCTTCCCTTCCTGTCCTCCGCCATCCCCTGGAAGTCATCGATGGCTTTGAGCCCCTGCTGGAGGCCCTGGGTGTAGCAGTCAATGGCTCCCTCCCGGTCCTCTCTGCTGTTGCCCTTCAGCTGCGCGTTGCCCTTTTCTTTCCACTGCTGCACCGACTCCACGAGCTCCGCGAGCTCCCGGCTACCCATGGTCATGGTCAATCAAATTTGCGGATCGCAGATCTGAGGTATGGGATGGTGTTGGTTGGTTCGCTCTGTTCGGCTGGGCCCCTTTGGGTGATAGCGGATGGACCAGCTGTGAACCCAAAAGGCCTCAAAGCGCTCAATAGGCAAGAGAGGCTTCCACCAACCGAATCTTCCAAACAGTGTCGCCTGCCCGTCAAGCCCAGGCTTCCTTGCTCAGTGTCAACCATGTGGCCTGCAACAGAGGTGCCCAAGCCAATGGGATCACCCAGCAAGTTGATGCTGAAGAGGACCTTCCAGAATTGATACCTGCGCTGTGCCAACGTGAGTATCATAACACTTCAATTCAACGTGTGCCAGTGTACCAATATGCTTTACCTGAATGAAGGCGCACATGCCAGTCTTTACATAGTCACGCACCAGGCTCTCCGCGAAGGGTGTCAGGTCTTGGAACGTTCTTTGAAAGACAGTCCTTACAGGCAACAAGAGCCATGCCAACACCCATGCCAACACCAATACCAACATATGCCAACAGTAGGCGACAACATGCACGCGCAACTGGCGCAAGTGGTGTGCATGGAGTCTGGCAGCCAAGCTCTTCAGCCGGGCGTCTCAGGAAATGAGAAGCGCGGCGTGATGTGCCCAACCCCTGAGAGCACTCCACTTCCGACCTCGCAGGCCGACAATGCACATGTCGGATCTGGGAAATTCTGAAGTCAGAATTTGCAGGTGATTGGCTGCTCCATTGTTTATTCATTGATGGCTTTCCCACAAAGTGGTCTGGCCAAGGCACGCTACCCAAGCAACATGTCTAACGAAGTAATCACACGATGTTGATGGATTCTGGGCGAGCGGCACTGGTAATGACAAACACGAGCCCCTTCTGCGCCACCATGAAGACTTGCCTGCGTGAAGGCAAATCGATAAAAATTGAACGCCACCCACCAACCACAGAAGCACGTCTTGTTTGCATCTTATTGGCCTTGATGTGTTGCACTGTGGTGCTTTGCCTGTTTGCTTTAATTAGCCAGAAAAAATCGCCTTTCGTTTCCGAAGCTGTAGTTTTGACTGCGGCCGCCCCTGAGCCACGAAGTTGGACCGATCATTGGAGGTGCATAGCCGCTGTGCGTGAGATGCAGTCGAGTGGCTTCATGTAGCCGTGGGAGCGATGTGTTAGTCGAGCCAAGATCCGGGCAAGCCAAAGGGACCTAAGATTGCTGACATGCGGAGTGCAAGCAGCCCTGATGCAGCGTAGTAATTGAGTGGAATTTGAGACTCAACATGACTTGTGTTGGTACGCGCCGGGCGTGCACCGTGAAGACATGCAAAGGGCTTGCCCACCGCATTCACACCGTACCAAGACCGAATGATGCTTGCGAGTTTCTGCCACTGTGCGTCTTGTTGATCGTCCGTGTCCTAATAGGCTTCCACAGCTGTGTTTTTCTCTCGGAGGTACCTCACGTGCTGAAATCCAAAGCTGAGAAAACAACACGCAAGAAGAAAGTGTTCATGGATACGCCACTCTCGTTCTGTGATCCATGATCTTTGCAATTTGTAGTTGGCCTGCCCAATCATAAGTCAGTCCTCAAGGGTGGAGCTTGCTGAGTCTGATCCCGATGCCGCCTCAGGGTGTTGCAGACGGGGTGGCGCAAGCTGAGCTCTCAGGCATGAAGCGAGCGACACCTAAGGCTTGCCTCGAAAAAACTGACTCACTGCAACTGGCAGCGTGGACATGCTTGACTGCCGTCCGCTTCAGTGGACTCTCTGCACCGCCTTTCCCTGCATGAGGATCTTCATTTTCATCGGCATGAGGATCTCTACTTGGGCAATGAGGGCTCCTGAACCAAGCTTCTTCCCCGCAAATAGGCATACGCATCTTGCTACCATTCTGTGCATCGTGTGAGGCAACGCCCGGCTTTTCACGAGCTCCTAGTCGGAACCATTCCAAGTAGATGGGTCGCAAAGTGGTAGTGCTTGCAGGAAGATCGATACCTGGCGCGCCCTCTGTTCGCACAGCCTTCAGGGTCCAAGGCCAGCACCAATAATGAAGTTTCCGCACAGCTAATCTCTTGCCAGCAGTCCAAACCATTTGCAGCGAACACAAATCCTGCCATCTGTATCACCACTAATTGCCTGCCAAAGGTAACTTGTCCCCAATCGCGGTGCAAGCAGCTGTTTCTAAAGTGGCGCTTCAATGCCAGCCTCCCTCTCGCATGCTCAACACCTGCTTGGCCACGATTTCCCGGTCCTCCTCTGAAGTGCCTGGACAAGAACCCGCCAAATCTCAGGTGTCTGGACGAAGCCCCTCCGCAAGCAGGCTGGCTACCCACCAACCCGACCTTGCCAAAGCAAAACTCCTCTTTTCCCCATTCCCCACCGTGAAGTAGGAGGAAAGCCTTCATGCATCTAGCCAGCGATATTGGTGCCTCAAAAAGAGGGGCCTCATTCAAATGGACGGTTTCCCATTTGGCTTCCTCTGACCAAATCGATTGCTTACTCATGCGCGGGCATAGGCTATCCAACGCCTGCAGCTTCAGCGGCGGAGGAGTTCCCCACATTCGCCCACTCCATGAGCTGCTGCACGATCTGGATCCAGAACCTCTGGGTCCCACCGAAAAATGTTCATTTGGGGAATCTGCTCGTTGGAATCTCTGCGTCGCTCTTTCCAACATTCCTCTTAGGGGGGACAGACCAAGAAAATGGTCTGGAAAAGAAGCTTACTTTGCTGAATGCAACGAAATTCCTTTTTGCCAATCACACAATGCGGGAAGGGCCTGAGGACAATCCACAGAAACAAAACAACAGTAACACGCAAGGCTGATTGGCAAGTTGTAATGCGAAGTGATCCAAACTAATCCGTCACAAGCTGCCTCGAAGCATTCTCACAACTGCTTTGTGGGCAGGCGGCGGCTCTGGCACACCAAGCAAGACATGCAATGCAGCCAGTACCAAACAGCCAAGAAGCCCCACATCCAGGCGCATGATGACGGGCTGCAGCAGAAGCTCCAGTTCCTACCGAAAAACATGGTGGCAAAAACCGGCCTGCTGACCTCCGTGAACAGGACGACGTGCTCAAAATGGGACCAACGGCTTATCACGCCTTGAAGTGCAGAATTCCGCTTGGCAGCTTCTCCATGCCTGAAAGCACACTGCTTGGGCATTGGGAGAATAGAACATTCTGGAACTGACTCAACCTGAAACCTACCAACCCCGGCTCGGAAACAGGTTTTTGTTGTTTTTAAAGCCCGTGAGCAAACTGAATCTGCAAACATAAAGAATCAGCTCACCTGACCTGATGATTGAAACTGCCAACGGCTCACTGTCTTAGTGTCTGTCTGAGAGAACATGTGAGTATCAGTCGGAGAGCAACACAGCTTCAAGCCAAATCCTCAGACACATCCTCCCTGAATCTGAATGCAAGCATGTCCAAGCCCGACAGCAAGGCTACAACTCTACACCCCGAACTGAACCTCGTACCTGCATTACTTACACCTAAATCCTGATCAGCAAGCTACTGTAAACCCAAACGCTAAACCTTCACCAACTGCTGGGGATGCAGCAAATCTTGTTTTCTGCAGAAACTCAAACTGAGGCACCTTGCCGGCGGGTTAGCTCATGCTTTGAATCATCCGAGCTGCAGAAGTACACGAAGGGAATAGTATCGGCTTCCTGGTTGCACGGCTGCCAGAAAGAGTTGGATCCACTCTGGCTGACACGTCAGCAAGACATGAGTCTATCCTCTGCAGCTTGCGAAAAGTTCCTTCTGCTTCACTTGTCTAATGCAGCTGCAGCGTCCGTGCTGTGTTTGTCCTTGCGCTTCTTGTGGTGACGCTCCCGCCGGTCACTGTAGTACCCACTGTCCTGCAGGCGCATTGGAGTTTTCATGGTAGGTGGGCTTGCTGATCATGACTCCAGTGAATGCTCCTAAAGAGACAATGCCGGTGGAGGGGCATGCTGATGCTGCATTTCTTCACGGGAATCTTTCCTTGTCTTTCTACACTTGCTGCCCCTGCCTCTGGGCAAATGATGATTGGTCGTACGCGATCTACCTCTCGCATGTTGTCGATCCTGGTTGTTCAGCGCTCCAAGAGATCCAACACGACGACATTCTTAACCCACTATCAGAGTTTTTGGGGCTTGCCTTGCCTGCCTCAACCATTTTCGCGTGACCAGAGCCAGGCTTCTGGAAGTGGTGCACAAAGAATTGCACTCGTCGCTGCGAAGATTTCTTGCGCAGCCTTGGCCACCGTGAATTGTTGCATGCCACGCACCTGCTTGCCTTTTCACCAACATGGATGGACAAAATGATGACCCTTTCGGGGAACCTGCCCCCAGGTGGGTTTTGTGACCATTGCTTGAATAAGCTGCACTTAGACCTTCTGCCATGCGAGGCATGCATCGAGGCAGCTGGATGTGGTCTACCGTCACACCGAAGAATTCCTCGTCGCCGTTGCGAGCATCGAGCTCGCCGCCAGTACCCAAGCTATGCGGTTTCGCCTGGAACCTCAGAAAGGTGCAAGCCCCTGTTGCTTCAAGAAATAGTCGCACTGGGCAAACACGGGCCATGCGAGCCACGTTGTTCTGTCCTGTGACACAAAGGCGCCGCTTTGGCATTACGTGAGCTAAGCACCCGGCACAAAACAAATGTGCGCACCGGCCAGCTGCAAGTCAAGGTCCCAACCTTGCAGCTCGCCGAGTTGGATAAGGCCCACCCACACCATTTGATGTTGCCACACAAGGCCGCTATGCCACAAGAACTTCTTCAGTCCCCCAAGGGCCCGCATGGTTTTCTCCAAGCTACCAGCGGCGAGCAGCAGATTGATTGCTTGTTTAATGTTTTCCCGATTTGCCGTCGCAACTTGTCGGCCGCAGGATTGCCACTGCAGGATTGCCGGAAGCCAGCTCGGCAACCTTGCCTCTCTTGGCAGCTCGCCGTTACGTCTGCTCCATTCAACAAAACTGGCTGTCAAACTCCCTTGCCATTAAACAAAACAGGTCTACGTACTGTTGCCTGCTGAGGGGCGACAATACCCAATGCCTGCGGCACCCAGCGGCAAACTAGCATGCGTTCTTACTTAGAGGCCGTATCCTCACAGGCCTTTTCCACCACCCTCGTCTATCCAAGAAGCAATCAAAATGCGCAGAGCTCCGCTCAGTGCTCGCAGCCATGAGGTGATGGCGGCTTTCCCTGACGCGTGGCCGCATAGGTCAAAACCCTTGAGACAGATTTTGGCCAGCTCCATTACAAACACGCCAAGTGTCAGAATGGCTTGCCGACTTTGGATCTTGCATCTCTATCGAACTGTCAGACCCGTCCCTCGACCGCTCCTGGCAGAGAAGACCTTGGATACTCCGTCGAACCACCTGTCCACAAAGAGCTTGCCACGACCCGTCTTCCTCAGCGCGCAAGAGTCGACCCTGGCCCCTGGTTTCAGCAGTTTAGCTGCCCAACACTAGCCCCCCGCCTTCCATACTACGATGTGCAAAGTGGTAACGAACCCGTGCCCACGGCAGGCAGTCCCGGCACTTGGCATAACTCGGCGGAACTGTTTGACGCCAGGGCTCCGGAAGCCGGCCCATTTAGGCCCCTGCAGCAGCTCCTGCAATCCAGATTCACAAATGATTCACACCACCTCTAACAGCAAATGATGAGATCCATTTGCCCACCAAGGGAAACAATGGTACTTGTGTAAGCAGGACCCCCCGTTTATTGATGTTCCTATCCATTGATTAGGGGGTGAGGAGATTCTGAACCGGCCGCAAGTATCTAGCTATTATGCTTGCGCGGTGTAATGAGGGACCAAGTCCGTGCGAGACGATTTCCAACTCACGCTCCTCTTGAACCCGTGGGAAGGGCGTGCTGTCATCCAAGCAGCCCCGAGCAAACTCCACGAGGCCTGGCGTTGAAGCCAAGTGCCACTGGCATGAGCTTGCAGCCCCAGCACTTCACAAAAGATAAGATAAAACTTCGCAGTGACTCGGTGATTGACAGCAAAGACTAGGCCGGAAATCCCGAACATCTCAAAATCATCTTGCAGTCTGCCCAATTGGTCGCTGCCTTGCTTGCTCAGCTTTGCCTGGCCTTGCTTTGCTTGGCTTGCTTTTCTTGCTTGTTTGCTCATTTGCTTTGCTCAGCGGGAGCTGGCGTACAAATACTTGAATCCACCTTGTGCAGCTCTCAGGCATTGACACTTTATGGTTCCACACGCAGTGCTTACGCCGGCTGGTTGACCTTGCAGCGCAAGATCAAAAGTGGCTGGTGACCAGGGGGCTATGGGTGGCACGAGGCTGGCTTGGCATGCTGATGCACATTTAGTCACCTTGCATGTTGCTGACGCGCAACTCCATCTTGACTTCGCAGAAGATCGTCAACCTGTTCCAAGGACGAAATTATTGACAATGGATTTTATGAAGCCTGACTGAGTCGGCACATGCGTGCGCAGCAGGTTGGGTAAAATTGTCGCTCTTATCCTTAAGCCTTAAGCTCCTTTGCTGCCAAATGTTTACCAAATAAGCTACGCAACAAACTCAGAGTGGGTCGGTTGTCCACGGCCCTGTTGGGAGATGGGCTTGCAAGGCTGTGCCTTCTTGGCTCAGCACCTCACCGCCCTGCTCTACAAGGAGCTTCCGCACAAAGGCGGCCATGGCATTTTCGGAGAGAAGACTCTGCACGTTCTGATAGCCCTCCTGAGCCAAATGCAGGTGTCTCTCAGTTGCGCCTGTGCGTGTGTGCTCAGCTCCAGGAAATCCTGGATGGTGGTCCGCTGGACATTTATATAAGCGGGCAGGATTGTGAACTAGGTTTTGGATTGGATTTGCGGGTTTGGATGTGGGTCTCTAAGTCTGGCGGTGCATCATTGTCTCCTGTGTGAGGGGCTCGCTCATGCCCACAGTCGCATCCTCTGCGAAGGGCGCGTCCTGAGAGCACAGGGAAACTCCACAACTCCATCACTTCCCAATGGCAGGAATGTTCTTCGATATTCTGCCTTGAGTGTCAGCAAAGGCTGCAGGGCTGCAGGACCATTGGTGCAACCACGTGTCACTTCTCCTACCTTCTGAAAGGGCCGAGTTTGACCGCAGGAGTTCAGCGGGCTCCTCGTCCTGGCAAGGCTTAAGCCAAGTGACTGAGGCCCATATGGTCGCATAAGCAGCCTCGCATCAGCCTCGCAACTTCCCTCTGGCGCCTCCTCAGGCAGCGCAGTCTCATCATCACTACCCTGCAGGCAGTGCCATTCCAAACGTGCCAGAATGTGTTGAAGGAAGCTACCATTGGTGGGTGAAAGGGCCAATCTGACTCGGGGAAGCTGCCAACAATCAACGGTTTATCAGTGGCACGAAGCAGAACTCGGTGTGAGAGTTCACTCTCAACATCCTCAACCAAACGTCCAAAGCTTGAGGGCAGTCGGCAGATGCCGACATTCCAACCTCAGGTTGAAGGCGGCTTGGTGTAAGGATGGCCTGAGCTGAGTCCAGCGTGCCACGCCGACTTTGTGGCATGCACTGCTTTGCCTGGCGCCGGCAGAGCTGAGAAAGACCCCGCAATGACGGCGCTGTTACGGATCCAAAACACTCCTGAGCCGAAGCATTGAGCTTCCCATCTCAGGCCGCTGCTGCCCATGTCAAATTGGCAAGAAAATGACTTCCCTGCGAAAGATTCTGCCAACCTGCTCTTGCGCTTTGAACCCCATGCTACCTGCTTCGAAGGTAAAGTCCTGTGGACTCGCGGAGCCACGCGCCTGATCCATGAGCTCGGCCCAGCTGCGCGCCCCCTGGCCGCTGCGCAGCTGCCGCGCCAGGGACCGCGACAAGCTCTCCAGTCCCGCGGACCTTTGAGGCGCTTTGGCAACTCTAAAATGAAGACTGGCTCCTGGCTACTTCTGTATGGGTTTCGATTCTCCATCAGTTAGAAAAAGATGGAACCATCAGAGACAAATATGTATGTCAAAGAAAGTAGAGTTTTGAGAAAGTGTTGAACGCGTAGCTTAAGGAAGCAACTGCATCAAGCAAAGCTTGGACCCTCACGAAGGCCAGCAGAGAAAACTCGGGAATAAAAAACAAGAGCATCCAGTGCAGCCAGTTTGGCGAATTTGCAGAGCGAGCTCAGCAACTGTGCACGTGTTGCCTGGCATGTCAAGGAGCGGACTTCCAACGCAAGCTAAGGCAAGAGCTTCAAAGATGCTGCCAGCCTCAGACAGGAGGGCAATCGCACCCCCATGACGTGCATGCCGTTGCTTCCAAAGGGTCTGGACTCAGCAAGGCAACGAAAAAGCTGGGCACGCAAACATATGAAACATGTCAAAGCACACCCTTTAGGTGATAGTCCAGGGCAGCGAGAGTCATTGAGCATTTGCTGCGGGCTACGGGCCGTGCTTTTGTTGAAGCATCGTCGTGCTCTGCGGCCCACGCTTGGGCTGCTCGTTCTCTAGCTGCAGCAAGGCTCTCCTACCAGTGACTTGTTTTCTTCCCATCCAGCGCCAGTCCCGAAGATTGTCTGCAACTGGCGTCTACTTGCCCAATTGTAGAACTTTAGTACTCCAGTGCTCAACAGCCTCATCCCATCGCCATGGCTCCTGAGCAGCAGATGCAACACATTGGCTGTCTCGTCCACGTTGTCCCTTTGGGCCAGCAGGTCCTGAAGTCAGAACTCAGGATGATAGCCAAACGTCCCATCAACCCCTAGTCAAAACTACACAATAGCATTGATGCATCTCATCGGGGATCTTCACAAAGGTGTGCTTATGCATAACCATATGATCGTATACATATGCACCCCGTATACCATATACATAGAGCTATACATAGATATATACATGGAAGAAACATGGCTGAGAGATGGGTGTTCTGTGGGAGGGGTGCGTCACTTCTGCGTTCCAGCTTCTGGTTGCTAAGTCTTGCCTGCTTACGCCGAGTTGCCACATTGCAAAATGAGGAAAGTAAGAGATGCAACAACCGCCTTGCAGGGTGCCCACTGGACGGGTTTTTGCAGATACAGCCGGCGAGGCATTTCGGATTTAAGGCAGCCAGGCGGCGAGCTATTTGCAAACTCTCTTCCCCAGCGGCGAGATCGTGGTCCTTCATTGCTTCCAGCGGCGAAATTCTTGGCAACGCCAAGAGCGGCGAGATTCTCTACGAGTGGCTCTCCGCCCAGCCCTGGCCCTCGAGAACCAGAAATCTCTCCAACTTGGGCCTGGTGGCAACCCCCTCAAAGTGGCTGGCTACTCTGGGAGTAGCTCTCCCTGCCTAATTGTGCGTTCTTTCATGGGTGATTTTTGCCCAAGTCTGTCTGCCCAAGATTGTGCTGGTTCCTGAAGCACTCAGTAAGACACAGCAAGCAGGAGCGGAGAGCTACTCCCAGAGAAGCTCTCCACTTTGAGGGGCTTCTGGCTCTCGAGGGCAGGGCTGGGCGGAGAGCTACTCGTGTGTTGCCAGCATCTCGCCGCTGGAAACAATGAAGGACCACGATCTCGCCGCTGGGGAAGAGAGTTTGCAAATAGCTCGCCGGGCTCGCCGCCTGGCTGCCTTAAATCCAAAATGCCTCGCCGGCTGTATCTGCAAAAATCCGTCCAGTGAGAACCCTTCAAGAGGTTTATTGCATCTCTTACTTTCCTCCTACTCATGACCTGCCCAGCCTGCTTTCACCTTGGCAGCATTTTGCAATTAACAAACGGCAGAAGTGACGCACCCCTCTCATAGAACACCCATCTCTCAGCAATGTTTCTTGTAGATATAAATATACATATACATATCCGCCGACCCTTTCTCTAGAAAGGGGAGGCGCACGGGAAGGGTGGTTGGCGCATAAGTATGACCAAAGTTTCATCCTCATCAGCATCAGCAGCCATGATGATTGTTATCATCACAGTCATCGTCATCATCATCATTCTTATCATCATCTCTTTCCTATTCTCTTATCCTTATCATCATTGTCATCATGGTCGTCGTCATCTCTTGTCAGGCAGCATTGGTGATGCAGAGGATGCTACGATGATAGTTATCATCACAGCCGTTAGTGATGCCAAGGATGCTACGATAATAATTATCCGCGGGTGATCACGATCATCACGCCCGTGCCATTATCATCATGGTCGTCGTCATCTCTTATCACGCAGCATTGGTGATGCAGAGGCTGCTGCGATGATAGTTCTCATCACAGCCGTTGGTGATGCTAAGGATGCTACGATGATAGTTATCATCCTTGTCATCATCTTTATCATCATCTGATCATCACCTAGCATCATCTAATATCTTATTATATATAGAAATCAAAAGGGACGTTGGACATCTTTGGCAATGGAAAGAATGCGATGATGATAGTTATCAAGGAACAAGTAGTGATGCAAAGGATGTTGTGATGATAGTTGTCATGACGCGGATGATAACGATCATCACGCCCGTGCCATTATCATCATGGTCTTCGTCATCTCTTACCACGCATGATGCAGAGGATGCTGCGATGATAGTTATCATCACAGGTGTTAGTGATGCTAAGGATGCTACGATGATAGTTATCATCCTTGTCATCATCTTTATCATCATCATCTTTATCATCACCTAGCATCATCTAACATCTTATTATATATAGAAATCAAAAGGGACGTTAGACATCCTTGGCAATGCAAGGGGTGCGACGATGATAGTTATCAAGGAACAAGTAGTGATGCAAAGGATGTTGTGATGATAGTTGTCATGACGCGGATGATAACGATCATCACGACCGTGCCATTATCATCATGGTCGTCGTCATCCCTTATCACGCAGCATTGGTGATGCAGAGGGTGCTGCGATGATAATTATCATCACAGCCGTTATTGATGCTAAGGATGCTACGATGATAGTTATCATCCTTGTCATCATCTTTGTCATCATCTGATCATCACCTAGCATCATCAAATATCTTACTGTATATAGAAAGCAAAAGGGACATCCTCGGCAACGATGATGATAGCTATCAAGGAACAAGTAGTGATGCGAAGGATGTTGTGATGATAGTTGTCATGACGCGGATGATAACGATCATCACGACCGTGCCATTATCATCATGGTCGTCGTCATCTCTTATCACGCAGCATTGGTGATGCAGAGGATGCTGCGATGATAGTTATCATCACAGCCGTGAGTGGTGCTAAGGATGCCACGATGATAGTTATCATCCTTGTCATCATTTTTACCATCATCTGATCATCACCTAGCATCATCTAACATCTTATTATATATAGAAATCAAAAGAGACGTTAGACATCCTTGGCAATGCAAGGGATGCGACGATGATAGTTATCAAGGAACAAGTAGTGATGCAAAGGATGTGGCGATGATAGTTGTCATGACGCGGATGATAATGATCATCACGACCGTGCCATTATCATCATGGTCGTCGTCATCCCTTATCACGCAGCATTGGTGACGCAGAGGCTGCTGCGATGATAGTTCTCATCACAGCCGATGGTGATGCTAAGGATGCTACGATGATAGTTATAATCCTTGTCATCATCTTTGTCATCATCTGATCATCACCTAGCATCATCTAATATCTTATTATATACAGAAATCAAAAGGGACGTTGGACATCCTTGGCAATGCAAAGGATGCGACGATGATACTTATCAAGGAACGAGCAGAGATGCAGAGGATGTCATGACGCGGATGATAGCGATCATCACGCCCGTGCCATTATCATCATGGTCGTCGTCATCTCTTTTCAGGCAGCGTTGGTGATGCAGAGGACACTACGATCAGCGTTAGCATGACAGTCATCCATTGCCCAATTGTTTAGGATTTGAGCCCCGGGCCAGGGCGCTGCTGAGAGAGGCGCGGTAACCGACTGAGCTACGGGGTCTTTGGGGTGGCAGCCAGCCGAGCTTGTCCTCGTTTCTGTGACAGATGTCCTCGTTTCTGTGAAATCACTGCGCGTGCAAAAATTGGCAAGTTGCAGGCGTTTTACACGATTTTGAGGCCACTTGACAGACTTGACAAACTTGACAGCCCGGAATCCAGGAGCAGCAGCGAGCTTTTTGTCAGGGAAAGCACCTCAAATTTTTAATTTGAGGTGTGGGAGTGGCATCTTTTTGTCAGGGAGAGCACCTCAAATTCAATATTTTTTTAATTTGAGGTGTGGGGGACTTTGTTTTGGGCTGCATCATCGTCATCATCATCACTTGTGCCTCTTTTCTAGCGAGCTTTTTGTCAGGGAAAGCACCTCAAATTCATGCTTTTTTAATTTGAGGTGTGGGAGTGGCATCCTTGTCTCTTTTTCCTGGTGAGCTTTTTGTCAGGGAGAGCACCTCAAATTAATATTTTTTTAATTTGAGGTGTGGGGGACTTTGTTTTGGGCTGCATCATCGTCATCATCATCATCCTTCTCATCATCATACGGCCGGCTGAGTCACAATATGTCACAATCAAGACCAGGTTAAAACATGCAAGTAAACATCAAAAGGGCAGCTGCAGCCATTGATTGGGGCTGTTTGAAGGGGCCGAAGGGGCCGGGGTTTACCCCTCCCCTTACCCATCCCCACAGGGGTGCCTGTGCCGCCGACTTTCTTTCCCCCATATGTGTCAGCCCATAGTGGGCCGGCAGGTTCAAGAAACACAATTCGGCTCTTGGGGGTACCTCTTCCCAGAGCATGGGCCCCAACTTGGGCCCAGTTTTGCGCAAACACTGAAAACACTGTGCTTTTCTACGTTTTTGACGGCTGGAAAGGCGCAAAATGTGGAAACCTGCTTAAGGTTTTCGCTCAAGACATGAGCAAAACACTGTGTTTTTGACACTTTCGCGTGGGCGCAAGGCCTCGGAAAGCGTGAAAAACATAAGTTTTTCACGGAAACCTGCTTATTGGTGAGGCTTCACTGGCCCCCGCCAAACCCGGCTTTGGAGATTGCATTGCCTACAGCGAAGTGTCTCGAAATAAGAGTGAGTGAGTGAGTGAGTGAGTGAGTGAGTGAGTGAGTGAGTGAGTGAGTGAGTGAGTGAGTGAGTGAGTGAGTGAGTGAGTGAGTGAGTGAGTGAGTGCGTGCGTGCGTGCGTGCGTGCGTGCGTGCGTGCGTGCGTGCGTGAGTGAGTGAGTGAGTGAGTGAGTGAGTGAGCAAGTGAGCAAGTGAGTGAGTGTGTGTTGAGTTGACGTCAGCGTGTGTTGTGACGTTACTACTGTGCACTACCTGACATCTTAGTAGATGTTTTTTGCCACACGCTTATGGGCCTGCTTCCTTCCGCAAACGTGCCTCGCGCAAGTTGCCCCGTGCTTTGAACAGATTGCAGTAAACTGAGGCTGCCGGCGCGGCCGGTGGTGCGTCAGCAACGTAAATCCGGCCGCGCCCCCCGAAGGGGGCGAAGAGGCTGTGTGTAGATCCCTCCCACCCGCTGGGGAGGGGTTTAGCCCTCCCCTTACCGCTCCCCACAAAAGTGACCCCCTGCGCCGCCGACTTTCTTTCCCCCATATGTATCAGCCCATAGTGGGCCGGCAGGCTCAAGAAACACAATTCCCAGTCTTGCGCAAACACTGGAAAACACTGCGCCTTTCTACGTTTTTGACGGCTGGAAAGGGGCAAAATGTGGAAACCTGCTTAACAGTGAGGCTATACTGATCCCCATCTAAGCTCGGTTTTGGGCATTACCTTCAGGCATAAGGCCGTGCGCCCGATGCTGCCGACCATGCGCAGAACATGAACATACTTTTTTTGCGCTGGGCCCGCTCTCATAAGGGGCGAAGGATTTGCGGATTGGTTTAGGCGATTTTTGTAGCATCTCCCCGCGGCGTCCAAAAACGAGCGTTTTTGGGGGGTGCCTAATACTGGACAACACCCCCAGCAATGCCAGCATCATCCCGGATAATGCGGATGATGCTATGCATGCTGGCGATGCGAAACAAGGGGCTGAAGGGGAAATGCAAGGAAACAGGAGTGACTGGAAGTGAACGAAATGCAAGTCAAAGGAATTGCACGGGCACTGGAGAGAAACCGAGATGCAGGAAAATGCAAGGGACAACAGGAACGAAAAGGGAGAGGAATGCGAATAAAGGAGCCTTCAAGGAAATGAAGGGAGCTGAAACGGTAGTGAAGTGGAAGGAAGTGAAAGGACATGCCAGGAAACTGTCAGGGAAGACATGCAAAGGAAGTAAAGTTCGAACCATCCCGAGAACTAGCAGAACTTGGAGGGAAAGGAGATGAAAGAACGGGAAGGGGTGCCCGGTGGGCGGGGTAGCATGTCGCCGCTGGGCAATTAGACTGCTAGCTTTAGCTAAAGGGGCTGCACCCTGGTGCCGCCGACCCTTGCGCTGCCTAAATCCGGCACCTCTGCATCACCAGCTCGGGCTTGCGGTTTTGCTTGACTGTGGGAAACCCTCGCGAAGCATCGACGTATATGCAGGGTTTAGGCCGTGGCTGACATCGTCAGGGTCTGGGGTTGGGCCTGGGTGATGCTTCAGCGGGGCTTGGTCTGCATCATCAAGACTTCCTTCCAAAAAGCCTCTCCACCCAAAAAGCACTGTTTTTAAGTAGGTATCGGAGGGGTATAAGCGAGGCTCATGTTTGCGCATTTTGGCGCCAAGCGCTGCCGGGCATGCCGGCGAGGCTGGGTCCTCGCTCTACAAAACGCTATAAATACCGCAAAAAACTGCTGTGCTGAGCGTTTCTGCTGTTGTTCTGTCCGTTTTGCTTTTGCTGTGGCTGGCTCGCGTGCTGCGCGGCCCTTGCTTTTTTCGCGTTGGTATTCGGGCCTTCTGGCGCGCACGCGCGCGACCCCGGCCACAAAACGCTGCTATTTACGGTGTTTCGTTGCATTTGCGTTTCCAGCCTGGCTTGCGGGCTGCTCTTTTCGGGCTGCTTTTTTTGGGTCCTCTGGCGCGCGCGCGCGCGCGACCCCATGTCAGCCTTCTGGGTTGGGGCCCGGAGAAAGCCGGCATCCCCGGCATTTTCTGGGGTTAAGGTGGGCAACATGCATAACCTAACCAGCCATATCATAGCGGCGAAACCCAGCGCGGGTCTGCAGCAGTGGGCCACGCAATGGGCGGAGCAGGTGGCCGCTGGCCACAGATGAGTAGCATTGTTATTATCATTAGGGCAGTAGCAGCAGCAGGAGCAGTAGCAGTAGCAGTAGTTGCAGCAGTAGCAGTAGCAGGAGCAGGCAGCAGTAGTATTAGCAGCCCATTCTAAGAAAAGAGACACATAGGTTGTTTTTGGCCAACGCATCGTATTCGGCGGGTGTTTGGCTAAGTCCCGCAGAAATACACGCTACGTTAGAGGCGTAGCCGGCTAGAGGCCGCAGGCCCAGAAAAAAAAATATATATATATATATATATAGATAAATATATATATATATATATCACACACACACACACATATATATATATATATATATATACATTTATATGTTTATATACTTATATCATTTCCTCATACATCTCCCTAGCGCTGCCCAGCCGTATGGCTGTCCCCAAGTCCACTCCTCGTAGGCCTGGGCCAAGGTCCGCACGGACCGGGCCCAGGACATGGCCGGCAGCTCCTCCAGCAACTGCGACAAGGCTGGGAGCCGGGAGGAGCGCGCCACCTGAAGCGGTGGGGGAAACCCGGGAGGGATCCAGTATCATTGGACTCGCTCTCTCGCTCATTGGACTCATCGAACCATTGGATCTAGAATGATTTAGAATTTGTCATTTGTCTCATCTGGAAGCCAAAAGGCTAAGGAGTTGAGAGCCATTGATCCTGAGCATGATCTGAGCTTTTCCGCATCTTGTCCGCGGGTGGACCGCTCTTGTTATCATGGGGGAGCCGTGTTGGACAATATTATATTGAATAATATTGAGTTGTCGCGTTTGGACACTCAACTAAACAACAGGCTCAAAGCCACCCGTTCAAGAGCAAACCATGTCAATGGGTCTCGCTTCGGGGTGAAACTGGGGGAATTGCCCGCCAAACAAAAAGGTATTTGTCGAAATTGTTCTGCGGCAAGCACCGGAACATAAGTTGCCAAAGTTGCTATCCAGTGTACTCGGACCAATCTCTACTTGCTAATCTGCTGCTTGCTTGTACCAAATTAGTCCTTCAACTGGCTCCGGTTGTTGAAAGTCTGGCAAAAGGGTGCACCAACCTTTTACGTGCCAAAGCAACGTAAGTTACCTAGGCCTTACTATAATCCCAATACAACCGGGTAGAAGCCGGTATCCTAAATGTTCAACGGGGAGTTTGGGTGCTGCTTCACGTGGGTTCCTGAATTTGTCTGCTTCTTGTTGCATGATCCTGTACTTTAGTAGCAGAGGCATCAAACTGTCTGTCGCCAAGAGGGCTGGCAAAAGCCAGAACAGCACAGCGCGAGCTACGCATGCTGTCTCGATTAGTGATGCATGTTTGACGAAGGGCTTTACAGCCCCAAGCGCAACTTGCCACATGCGATGCCCAATCCCTCGCCGTGTTGAGCTAACCAAAGCTACCGCTACAAAAGGAAGCATTGTCAATCTCCAGCTAGGTGCAAGTGACGCCATCATTGCAATGCGAGCGGCGAAGGCGGCAACGTCCCCATCGTCCGCTGCAAGCCCACATGAGCCCAACCTTAGTGGCCAGGTTGCAAGATGTTGCAAGGGACTTCAGCCAACCGCTGCCCTTCGCCAGGATCTGAAGTCTGTGAAACGGGTGCCACACCGTGCCACACACACCGCCTTTGCAAACCCCTCCGCCATAGAGTGCAACTTGCTCTTGGCACGCCAAGAAAGGACGCCAACAGCTACCCTCGCTGTCCATCAGCAATGGCCGAGGGACAGCTCCTTGATGAAAACGGCCATCATGTGAGGGCACATCATAGCTCTCCGCCGGCCAGCCTCCGTGAGCATTGGCCTCTTGGGTTCCCCCACAACGCCTGCCACAGCACATGGGGCAATCTGCACACACCGCTCACTGCCTGCATTCAAACAAGCATTGTTTCGAAAGCGCCCCCCACACAGCAGCCCTCCCTGTGCCTTTGATGATCATTTCTTGCCGCATGTGGCGCAGTGATGATGTCGCACCTGGCCGGCACCAAGCTGGGTCCATCTCCGTCAGCAAAAGCGGCATAAGCTCAGCAACTTCGGTCCCCGTGCCTTCGCCACCTTGCATCTGCAACAAATAAGCACAACAAAGAAATGCACCGCTACTTCTGGACAACCGGAAAAAAAAAGAGACACGCTTTAGCCTGATGACCACGCTGCTGCGATGGGGAACCATGAGTTCAACATACTTTGATTGCACATTGCATGCGTTTGCTGTAGCATCAACCGCAGGCAGGTCTGGCGTTGAACTCAGCTCTGCACTTTGTTGTTGCGCAAACTCCATCACCGCAGCTTCCGCACATTGGCTGTCTAGGTCCTGCTTGCAGCTGCATTGCTTGGTGGATCCAAAATAACAGCGAACGCTTTGAGATGACTCTTGGATCTTTGAGGCTTGTGCCACTTTGGCAAACTGCTGCAGGATCGACGCCAAACCAATCGCAGGCAACAGTGCCCGCAAGCAGATGTCCTTTGCCACGCGCCACACGTACTCTTCCATGGACTTGGACTCCTGAAGCCGAGAAGTCAGACTCCCATGCTAAGAGAACATCTGAGTAGCGTTTCTGGAGGGAAATTAATGCCAGTGACATATCGCACGCCTACGCCGGCGCCTACGCCATGTGCAACACCATTCGGAACGGCATTTGCAAGGTGCTACGCCCGCCTACACGGTGGCTGCGCGGCGTGTTCTGTGCCAAGTTAGCATGCATAAGCCTTCAGAAATCATCACCTGATCACATGAAACCCTCTGGCTTCTGATCTAGACTGCTGACGAGAGCCCAAATCTGACCATGCCTTCAGCGTTGACAGCATGATCCAAAAGCTACAGCCTGCGCAAATGCCTACGCGGGGCCTACACTGAGCCTAGGCGAAAACTAGTTAAGCTCCTGGGTAATAGGCTGAGCCAGAACGCCCTGCTAACCTCAATGCCAGCAAGCCGCCACATCTGTTCCTTTAGGTTGCAGCTGCAGCTCTCAACTGGTGCAAGAACAAACAAGCAGGTCACAAGGAAGCTGATTTCCACTCTCCTTTTCCCCCTTCACTGCAGAAAACAACAACTACTCATCCGGAGCCGGGGGGGGAGCTTCCGTTCGACAAACTCACAGCCTACAGCCTAAAAGTATCGCAACAGCAACAGCAGCAGCACTGGCACCCTTCAGCAAAGCTCATGCTTGCAGTATGATGCAAGGGTCAAACATGCCATTCACTTCCTCCAGCATGCACAATTCTCCATGGTCGAAACTCCCTGGCCCAAACATGAAGTTTGCCACAAAACAGCTAAGTGGTCCTGCATCAGCACCACGTCGTGAAAGCCCTCTTCACTCAGCGGAGCACTGGCGGCTGTGACCTCCTCACCCTCATCCAGTTTCAGCGCCAGTCCCGGCCCCACTTTGTCCGCCTGACACGGCAAAATGCCAGGCAGGCAAGCGTGCGTGCTTGCCATCAAAAGATGAAGCATGAGATGGCCTGCAATGTCTGTCCGCTGGGCGATGATTGAGTGAAGGGATGGTAACAGTATGGCCCCCCGCCTCCAAAGTCGACAGGAAAAGCGGGATCTTTAGCCAGCACAAAGGGGGTCATGCACTGTTTTTCATGCACTGCTTCCAAAAATGCTTCGTTGGCCAGGGCATAAAGGTGTCTGGGGTGACCTGAAGCACTTGATTCAAAGAGGCCGCTCAGGGGCTTCAGGGGCTTCAGGGGCTTCAGGGGCTTCAGGGGCTTAGTGATATCGTGCAGCTGGCGGCTACCTGTCGTTCCCCGCTCCGCTTGCCGATTGTTGAACAATCTACTCATCACTCATCACTCACTCCGCAACTTCTGTTCCACGTTCCTCGAAGAGAAAAAGCATATCCTGCTGGGCGCAGCCCCGTGTGCACACCCACGCATTCAAAGTGTCAGTACCGACAGCTCCCAAACCGCAGGAAGCGTGAGGAACAATGAATCAAATGAATAAATAACAACAAAATAAATTAATAAACAAACTTTGGGGAAACACAAAACACCAGCAAAGAAATTGGCTATCATTGTTCTCTTACTTCAAACTGACCACCCCGGTCACCAGCCTCATACATCTGCTTGCGGTCGGTCCACAAGTCCTGCGGCCAAGGAAGGCACGGAGCCTGAAGTTCTTTGCTGGCTGCATCTGCAACAGGAGGCGGGTTTTTGTCCGGTCGGGGGAGGGTGGACTTGACTTCAGAAGGTTTGCGCAACTCCCACTGCGGTGTCCTGAAGGATGAGGCGTTTGTCGTGCTGCGCATGTAGGGGCCAAGCGAACGCCCACCACGTCAAGGGTGGAAGGATCTCGCATTGGGCGCTATCTGGCGCGGCATCGTTTCCAGTGGAAAACCAGCGGAAAACTCGTGTCAAGAGCTGAGCGGTACCCCGCGTCTTGTCCAATGCACTCGCGCAGTCACATTTCCGTCAAGCGCTCGGGCCTTTGAAGCGCACAGCAAGCGTCCGGGAAGGCGACCAATTCTCAACGCGGTAGGGGGGTGGTTCATCCTGAGCTCAATACCCCCAAAGCACCATGACCCCAAAACAACGCCAGGCCAAGTGGCACTCAGCACCATGAAGGCTGTGCTATTCCTGACCTTGCAGATTGAAGAAACTGCATATCTGGTTGGGCAAACCCATTTCGGCAGCCAAGAACACACCCTCACGGTTCGGCATGGTTTACAGCACAACCGCGGGGCCTGACCTGCAACACAGTGAAGAACCAGTTAATACACCCAACATCACTGACTTCAAGAACGTTCTGGTGTTGAAGTGTTTATCCTTCATTCCGGCTGAGCAACTACCATGCTAATCACTGAAATCTTCACATGCTTTGCCATTGCTGGGCAAGGCAGGCCACACCCGATCCTGTACTTCACCTGTCTTTCAAGTCATTCCCCAAAATACTGAGTAATTAGGCTGGTCAGAACCTGGTGCACACAGCTCACCGCTTCCTGCATGCTTAGCAGTTGCGCCTAGATTTCAACTCCGCCTGGCCCACTGACCTGGCCATGAAACCATAGATCATGTTACATTTGTCTCTCAGGTTTTGGTGTCAATCTAGAAAGGGCCTCCACTTCTAAATTACCTCCACGACTTCCTGTCGTCTTCCTCAGTGCTTTTCGCGCCTGCACAGAGTAGCGCAGGAAGCTGGTACCGGGCTCGTCCCCGCTGGCGCCCGCACTGCACCGCAGCGCCACTACTTCCTCACTGGTCGAGTCCAGGCTGAGCCATCCTGGGTCTAAATGGTGCAATGCTGCTATTTCCCTCAGTGCTACTTGTATCTCGCAAGTCCTGAAAAGGGTTCTTGTATTTGTTGTGCCCAACCAATTGATAAAATCAATCTTTTGGCATTTAAGCCCCTTACCTTGCTTTCGCAAGGGGAAACTTCAGCTAACTTAAGCTAGCTTTCGCCTCGCGTGGGCCTGACAGACTTGACAGCTGAGTCTCCACTCCACGGAAGCCCTGCAGGCTCACCGATGGCGCTCACATCAGCCGAGGAGGAGCTGCCAATGCCTCAGCACAGCACCCGCCCGACCACCTGCAACTCAAACAGCGACGATGCGAACGTCAAAGCAACGAGCATTCTTAGCTGAACCCGTTTGGGTGCATGAAAAACACACAGACGCGCCGCGAGTGAGCCATGTCCAAAGTGTGTCAGGATTTGCGCAACCCATGGTTGCTTTAAGCGACGCGTGGGGCCGGGCTTCAAGTTGGCCGTGCGAAACCCGCGTGCCATCACTGGAAAGGCGGCTCACGCGAGGTCGTTTTCTGTTCAAGTGTAGTTTGCGAACTGCGCGTTGGCAGCTCCAGCTCGAAAGTCGCAACAAGTCGGTGCAAGTGCGCGAAGTCTTGGCAAAACCCGCTTGCTGCGGCGCTGGCACCTTTTTGCAAAAGAAATCTCGAGGCTCAGCCGGCTGCAAACGCATGTGCAAACGAATGCCACTTTCACACTCCCAATTGTCTTTTGGGAATGGCTGGGCCTGCCTGGCTCCGCCAGAAAACGCAAGCTCAAGCACGTCACGCGAAGGCCGCTGAACGCGTAGCCTTGTCCGTGAGCTTCACGTAGGCCTGTTTCAGCCAGTCAGCAAACTCACACAAAAGTGCCTTACTGCACTTTGTCAATTCGTCTGCCCACATGAGCTCAGTAGGCGTCCAGCGAATGGACTTCTCATTCACGAATTCCTGAATGCTCCGGATGTCCACCATAATGCGCTTCTCCGAAGTCCGCAGGTTCTGGGCGCAAATTGCGTATAGAGGGACTTGCAGTCTGTGACCGGGCAGGTTCTGATTTGAGGATCTCGGCCAAGGTGAGGTTGATGTAGTAGGCTCGGTCCACTGCGTCATCGCATGAGCATGCCTCTGCGGCAAGTGTGCTCCTGCACACTCGGGCTGATCTGTGTGATCGCCATCACGTTGTCAGCGGTGACGGTCTCCGTGCACTGAGGGGCCGTGCTCGGCGTTTGCCCATGAGCTGTCGGCACGATCGCGACATTGCCGAAAGTCAGGCCCTGGTCGGGTGTGTCGAGCGCGTAGTTCAGGGCCTCATAGAGCAAGGACAGCTCCTTGGTGGTGTTCTCGCTCCCACGGTTAGCAAGGCCAACCCATGCGGCCACCTCCGGGCGCGAGCCACTGCAGAGATCCGGCGACGCTCTTGAACTCGGTCCTGTCCTGAGCGGTGAGTGGTTCTTCTTGGCGCCCACGAAGGATCTTGGTGTTGGGCGAAGGTGTGTTCTTGAGGAACTTGCTCTGGGTGACCTTCAGGACGAGGTCCTTGCCCTTCTTCTGCAGTGTGAACCCCTTGCCTTTGAAGTCCAACGGATCTGAAAGCGAGAGCTCCTTTTGGCTGCCCCACTCGAAAAGGTCGCCGAGCTCCTTCTTGTCGTAGTTCTGGGCGCAGGTGACAAGGAAATCGTCTACGTAGACGATCATCAGGCAGCACAGCTCGAAGCGCCCGTGATGCCGCCGGTGCTTGTGAACAGCATTCGGTCGAGCGCGTGCTGACGAAACCCAGCGGATAGAAGTCGCCGAGTGACTTCGCAGCTCCACGTCCGGGGCGCCAAAGCCAGGCCATGGATGTTTCCTTTCACGCGGTACAGGGGGCAGCGAAAGATCCCTGCTACGCGGCGCGCCTCGTCCTGAGGTGGTCTCAAGTACAACTGACCTGAGTGTTTGCCTGGCTCTGGCTCTCCCTGCAAAAACGCTGTCGAGGCGTCTCCTGACCACCGTTCACGCCAGCAGCATATACCGCGAGAAGGTGTCCAAAAGCCACCACTCTGGCCTTGGCGACCAACTTGCCGGGGAGCTTGCTCTTGTTGCGAAAGCGCGCGGCTCCTGAGGATTCTGGTCCTCATCTCAGGGTCGGCTATGATCTTTCTGGCCTCCTGCTCTCTGACACTTGAATCCCTTGAATCCCGAGCGTCTCAAGGGCTCGCTTGGTACGTCGGTACCGATTCTCCTCATAGTCGTTCAGCTTGCGCTTGAAATGAACGGATCCTGCTGCAAATGCGGTTGACGTCAGCGTCCTCCAGCTCTTCCTCCAGCTCGCCCCTCAGCCTCCTTCCTGGGCACATAGTTGATGATCTGCAGCATCCAGATCTGGATCTTGACCGTCTTCTTCCACTTCAAAGGTCAGCGCGGTCGTAGTGCCAGGAGCCTGCGGCGGGGCGCCTCCTCGGTACCTCACACTGGGCTCGGTCCCTTAGCTGAGTTCCAGTCGCTGTCTGACTCCTTGCGCTTGGTGCTGATGTTGTCCGGGAGGCCGCCGAATGGCTTGACGGTGTCGCGCAGTGATTGGGGCGCGCCTTGCGGCTGTGTCTTAATCTTCCTCCGGCGTCTGCGTGCTGGCAATGCGTCAGCGGGGTCCACCAGCGGATCGTCGGCGGGCGTCTTGCTCTCACCACGCTCCGGGCAGTCCAAGCCGGTAGGTCCGGGTGGTCCGCCTCCAGCTTGCCATGCCCTCTCGGCCATGGCCGGGTCTACGTCCACCTCCAGGATGCAGGTGTGCGTCATCATGTCCACGTTGGTCGCCTCGTGGTTGGTCACCATGATGGAGTTGTCCACACGCCGTCATCGGTCTCTCTCCTGGTGGGCTCCGTGGCGACGTAGAAGTTGGTGTCGCCACTGGCAAGCCATGCATCGCCAGCGATCGCCCTTGTCCATGGCATAGTTCCGGGGGCACGAGCTCGGTGGAGCAGGCCGGGTCGGCGAGACGCCAGCGCGCTCAGGCTGCACAGGCTCCTCAGCCGTGGCATCCGGCCGGTAGGGCTCGTCAGCGACCGGCTCATCGAAGTCGTACTCGGTGCTGTCGCTGGTGCCATCATCAGCCTTCCGCTCCATCAAGAGGCGCGAGATGGCCGGCGTAGCGTGCCCGGGGAAACAAGAGCTCAAGGCTCCGCTGCCAACTTGGCAAAACTCGCTTGCTGCGGCGTGGGCGCCTTTTTGCAAAAGAAATCTCGAGGCTCAGCCGGCTGCAAACGCATGTGCAAACGAATGCCACTTTCACACGAAGTACACAAACAGTACAGCGCTATCATGGGCTCCTACTCGGAAACAAGGCAAGGGCCTACAAGCCGAATCCAGGAATGTCTGTTCTGGTGGCTTCTGTGACCCACATGACTACCCAGAACGAATTGGATATTCAGCAAAGTCTGTTGCAAAGGAAACAACCTGAGAGTTTCAATACTGTGCCACAGTGTGGGGCTTGAAGCCGCGCGGCTTTGTCTGCCCTTGCCTGCGTGCATGGATGAAAGCTTTGTCTGGGCCAAGCGTTCGTTTCGAGAGGGAAAAATATAAACTAGCCACGCCAAATACAAAACCAAACAGGTACTGTACTGTGCTTGTGGGGGGAAAGTGAACTCTTGCATGTGCACTTGCCTCGGCACCGGCCTAGGTCAGACCCTCTGCTCGTCACTGGCTCTAGCTTCACGCTTTGCCTGCCCTGCTCTACCCCTGTGGGCAAGCAGCACGCGGAGACAAACACAGGGAAAGGGCAAAGGACAAGGTTTGGACATGAGGGGCCACTTTGGGTTCCTTCTGGCGTTTCATTGTCAGCCACTAAGCAACGCATAGGAAAAACATCAAATTGTGTGGCTCAAACAAATCGCCGTTTTGCGCCAGTAGTCAAATCAAAGCACAAGGGCCTGATGACAAACCATATTTCATTGAACATTGTCTTACGCACCATGTTCCCTCAACCCCTGCTTTCGCCACCTTGCAGAGTCGATGCACCGGTGTTTTAGAATCTGCTCAATTGCAGGCAGGCCACTCCGCGCCAGGAATGCTATGGAACCTTCGCCGGCGCCATCGAGGCAAATCGAGCCTGCCTAGCAACGCGCACGTCGCTGAGAGAGCGGGAATTGCCTTGAGCGCATTTGCAAGTCACATGCAGAACAAAAGCTTGCAGATCCCGGAAGGTACATACAGAAAATGAAGGCCACCCCACTCGGAGCCCGTGGGGCCTGGAGCTGGCAGGTGAAAAACCTGAGCGCGGCAGGCAAAGTCTGGAAACCCCGAAACAGCCCAGAATGCCAGGCCATGAAGGGTGAGGAAACCAAACGGACAATGTAAAATCAACTTGGGCACTTGCATTTACAGGTGCCTGCTCCCCCCTAATAGCACGTGCAGGACCCCAAGAATGCACAAGAAGGATCCTTCAAGTGCACAGCTTACACTTGTTATAAAGCTAGTTTGAGGTGCGACGACCCTCATGGTTGGGGGGCCTTCCTCCAAACATGGAATCTGACGGGAAGACCTTGGAAGACCATCATCTTGAAACGCTGCCCGGTTCCATGACTTTTATGTGTTTTTTGCGTAGTGGCAAGCGGCAACCAGGCAAAAAAGGGTTCCTTTGGCTTTCCCCACGCCAAAAGCTTGCTTCCTCCAAACCTTTCCATTTTCATTCGTTTTCATTGTGGTCTTTGTTTATAGGGGTGCTGTAAAACAATTCCCGCCTGAAAATTGAAGCCCTGGGTTTGAACCAGCACGGTGTTTCGACTTTCCCTGCCAGTTTTGCGGAAATGGTCATGACTCACTTGCGAACACGAGGAGTGAATCCAACACGGCCGCATACGGCCACGTTAGCAACACACTGGAGGGCGTGAGCGGATATCCTTGCTTGTGGTACGGGCTGTGCCGCTGGGCATTCTGCAGTGGAGTGCGCGGGCACCTGTGCTAAATCTGAATGGACTGGAAGTGTGCCAGCCTGAACTCGGTCCATGGGCGCGGTATGCGAGCGCTGCCGCAAGTGGCACTGGTGCTCAACATGGCGGGGCATTAGCGCATGAAAGAGAGTGTCTGGTGCCTGGCTTCATGCATCTTGATCATCTTGATTTGGTTACGCAAGGGTGACAAAAGACTTCCCGCCTTCAAACGCAACAATGGGCCAGTCATCCGAGCGTTTGGCCTGCGCAGCCCGCCCACCAGGCTTTTCGTCTATGCTTTGATGAGTCGGTGGCCAGCGTAGCAAGCTCAATGGCCTAGAATGCCCTAGAATGCCCTGCTGTTGCGGTGACGGTGACCGCAGTTTTGTTGAAAACCCTGCAGCAAAGCGAAGCGTGGTGAGACAACATCCTTGAATTCATCAACATTTCAGCTAAGTGGCTGCATAGAGACCTCCTTGTGGCCCTTCGCACGCAGATCCACAGTCTGGGCTTTGCGATTGCACGAGCACATGCGACCAAATCATGTCCCGCGGTGTTTGGTTCAACCCCCCCCCCACCCTCTCAAGCAATCAGCTTTCCTCACGAATGTTCCCGAGTCACGTCAATCGATTCAATATTGCTCGCTTTTCCCCCCGGTTGGTGAATCGACATCGGAGGTTGACGTTCGAATTGGTGAAGGATGGTTCCAAAACACTCACCACAAACTAAGCAACCTGACTCAAACAGGCCATGGGCCCCTCATGGCCCCTCTCATCCAACCCTCGCCTCCTGCAGCTTCTCCCACGCGCCTTCCTTCAGCCACTGCGCTGGGTTCACATGGATAGGCACGCCTCAACTCGACTCTTTGCTGAAAGTTCCAGGAAACTTCCAGAATTCGTCAAAGGAAACACTGCTGCCCTTCTGAGGGACCATGCGACATGCCTGAACCTTTACATGGAATTCCAACATGAATGTTTGCAGATTGCAAACGCGCTTCCCACCCAACTGTTTCAACTTTGGACCGGCAATTTAGCAAGCAAGCCCTGTGTAGGCAAAAGCCAAAAAGTCCGCCAGCCCTTCCACCCCCACCCCAGTCGAGCATCCAATGAACACCTCGCTGGTTTTCGACAGGATGATCTTGCCCAATCTGAAGTCCTCACAAAACCCGCAGGGCTTCCCCAAACCAAGGAGCACTTTTGCAAACAAGCTTTTGCATGTGAGATCACGACCTGGCATGCGCAGCACCTGATGCATGGTTGTAGGTTCTAAATGTCAAGTGCGAGATGATGGTTCAAGGCGTGGAGATTTGCCAAATGAGTGACCAGCACCCCATTTCTGGAACCCCTTGCAGCCGTGCCAAGATATTTCAGCAAGGGGAAACATTTAAGCCGGTCAGGGGGAACGGGTGTAGGCAAAGGCTCGGGTGAAAAGATTGCGACAACAGCATTTGAGCAGCGGCGGGATTAGGGTGGGCTTTCGTACTTCAGAAGGAGGCGGAGCCTCATCTTGACACATTTTTTAGGCAGCCATGCCTCACTTGCTGCTGTTACTTGCATCAACTTGTTCCACGATGCCGTTTCGCCTAACCCCCCCGCAACAAGGCATCATCATCGCGCCTTTCTGCAGTTTGCGCTGAAGTGCACTCGCAGGTGCAGCTGTTTCGGGCAGCTGTCATCACGTGCGGGTTGCTCGTCTCGCTTGGTTGCAATTGTTTTTGATTAACCCTTTCTTCCTTTCTTCCTCTTTTCCGCTCTTCCTCTCTTCCTATCTTCCTTTCTTCCTTTCTTTTCTTCCTTTCTCCTTTCTTCCTTTCTCCCTTTCTTCCTTTCTCCCTTTCTTCCTTTCGTCCTTTCTTCATTTCTTCCTTTCTTCCTTTCTTCCTCTCTTCCTCTCTTCCTCTCTTGCTTTAATCCTGTCTTCCTTTCTTCTTTCTTCCTTTCTCCCTTTCTCCCTTTCTTCCTTTCTCCCTTTCTCCCCTTCTTCTTGTCTCCCTTTCTTCCTTTCTCCCTTTCTTCCTTTCTTCCTTTCTTCCTTTCTCCCTTTCTTCCTCTCTTCCTTTCTTCCTTTCTCCCTTTCTCCCTTTCTTCCTTTCTTCCTTTCTCC